AATTACTTGGTTCTCATAATAAAAACAAGACATAATATTATAAAAATGCACATAATTACACAATAACAATTATAAATATTTGTGTATGAAATAATGTTTATTCAATTCACTAATTTGCAACTTTATTTGCAAAATCTCGTAATACTTTTCAAAAATAAGTTTTTAATACCATTAGACAGATAATAATGTGTCTTACAATGTTAAATACCTCGATTTAGCTTTTTAAGTATTTCTCTCTAAAATTAATTTTTTTAATACCACAAATTTCATTGTGATAAAAATATATAGTATACCTAATAATTAATGTTACATTTCAAAATATGAATTGTATCATCTTTAAATAATATTAAAATTCTACTTTCAATCTGAGAAACATAATTAGACAATTATTTTTCAGAAACAATTCAATCAGTTTTTCTTAGACCATTTGTAGTTTTGTAGTTTTAATATGTTATTGCAATTACAGTCGCAATTTTGTAAAATGTTTGTTGTTTGTGGTCATGTTAGAAAAGGATGGGAAATTTAACTAATATTTTTAACTCATTAAGTTAGTATAAAAAAATTAAAATAAAGCTTAAAGTTAAAAGTAAATTAATTAATTTTTAAAATCAGTTGTATTAATTCTTTTAGTTGAATGTTTACAATGCTTTCCAAGCACAAAAATTTGTAAAAATATGTATCCAAAAATAAAAATAATACAAAAAATGAAAGGGAAAACCACTTATTGAAAGACTCAACTAACAAAAGCTATTAATCATTTAGTCAATTGTTAATATATTATAGAGATTTGATGTTATCTGTATAAGACTTGAATGTAACTTTAATTATCTATGAATAATTATATAAACTTATGTAGGTTAGATGTTAAGAAATCTATTACCCTAAGAATTTAGAATTTAATAATTTAAACCAGAAAATGTTTTCTTTTATACATATCTAGTTGTAAATAAATATTTTCAAAGTTAATATTTCAATTTGTCCTTCATTTGAGTGTAAAATGTCTAAGTCTAATAAAGGATGTTTATTTTCAGATTCTAAATTTGTCCCAAAAGCAGAGTTGTTCTTTTTATCATTTATGGAACACTTAATTGGTCAAAGTGTAACTTACTGTGTAAAAACCTTGCCACTACTAGTTAATCCTAATATAGACCACGCAAAATTAAACCGCAGACGTCGTAGGCGTGGTTTTAGACAACATTCTTCTCCAGATTCTCAAGAATGGAGTGGAGGTTACTATTTAATTATTAATATATAATGTTTTTTTATTATATTTAGTAGTTGTAAATATGATTGTATTAAAATCTTAAATGATAATTTAAATTTGAATTAATATTTAAAAAAAAATTGTTACTTAGATGAAGCAGAAAGTATTATAAGTCCTGATGACGAATCAGATGATGAAAGTGAAGAAGAGATGTTAATATTTGATATGAAAAGACCCAATGATGACAAATCAAAAAATGGTTAGTAATAAAAATATTTGTTGCTATTATTTTAATTAATGAGTGGTTAATTTAATTATAGAATCAGATGGGTCAAATGATAGTGGCACGTCATCATTTGGTTGTGAAAATAAAAATAATCCCAAATCTCCGCTTTCAAACGTACCATTTATTGAAACTATAAAGGTATTAATATATAACATATTATATTTTAAAAAAACTGTCAGTAATACATTAATAACTAATTGTAATTATTCTCTATATTTTAGATATATTTTGATTGGATTCAATCAAATATAGATTCCATGAATCCTGAAGCATCGGTTGAGTTCTTTAACAATACTGTTACACTTTTAAATTACTTTTCACAAGCTAATATTGAAGATACATTCTTAGACATTGATACAAATAAATTCATGTTACCAGAAGAAGTACATTTACGTGGTATGACTGTTTTTTCTAAGTCTAAAAAGTATTGTGGAGAATATGATAGCAATATTTATACTGAAAATGAGGTATGCGTCAATTTTTTTTCAAGTATTATTATTTAATATTAATTTATAAATTTTCTTTTATATTTTAATTTTTAATGTATAAGTTGTTCAATATAATAAAAAATCTCGGCAGTTAAACTAAAATAAGTTTAACCAGTCAATCACTTAGTAGAGTCTAATCATAATTAACAAAATCTAATCACTACTAAATTAAAGTCCCTTTAATGTAAGTTTTTTGATTTTTTTAAATTTCACATACATGGATTACATTACATAACAACCACTATGATATACTTTTGAGATGACTATACTGTTGAAATCAAAAATTAATTTTATTAAATTTTAGTATAACATTTTGAAATGATTTATTTAGTAACAAAAATATAACCCAAATTTCTGAAACCAAAATATGATGTGTATCCTAAATCCTTATTGTGTTCATTTATTATAACCACTATAAGTAATTTAAAATGTTAAGGTACAAAATCTACTTGATTTGTTTAATATTCATACAATTTTTGAAAATACTTATTTCTTTTGTAAGTTTTAAAATATATACTTAAGAAGTGTTAATGAACCAAGAAAATAAATATATGACAAGTATGTAATATTATAACCTGAGTTAAGATTTTGATAACCTAAAAACACACAAAAATGTCTAAAAAATTCAAAAAATTATCTAAAAAATCGAATTAAATAACTGAAAAATATTTGTTTATAAATAGTAATTTTTATTAGAGATAAGGACGTGATATTGATTGTCAGAGTAATTTAAAATATGAATTGATATTAATTAACAATAGTGTACATTTACATATTTTTAAGCATTATATAAAATTATAAAATTAAAAAATGATACTAAAACTATTCTCATTAATATTCATATTGCACTGTTGCACTATACCAGTGTTTCCAATCTTGGGTTGCGAAATATTTTTTATGGGTTGCCAGTCGCAACCTATAATTAAAATTTACATGAAAATAATTTTAATAGAAAATTTATAAATCCCTAACTTTTGTTTTATTTGATACCTCATTATATGTATAATAATAATGTGAAGTTTCGCTAGTATTGTAGATATCAATATATCTTTAGTAAAGTTTGTATTATATTTCTGTCATATCGAGATTGTGCTAATGACTGTCTATGTGGTATCAGTCAATTTTCCATACAGTTGAGTAATAAGCAGTAGATAGAGGCTACAAGAGAAGGTACAAATGAAAAGTTTTATTTTAGGATTAGACACTCATTTTTAAATACTCAAATTGCATATAATGTATATTAATTATTAGGTTTTAATTTTTCTAATGGATAAATTTATTGTTTGTAAAACCACATCCATTAATACCAGTCAACCATCAGGAACTTTAGTACAATATAAACATTTTTTTTTTTACCATTACAAAAAGATTGGGAAACACTGTGTTATACAATTAAAATGTGTCTAATGTTTTCAATGTATAACATTCAAACAGGAAATCTTATTGGTACGCGATCAATTTAATCATAACAAAAATCCCACAATAATAATATTAAAATTATTTTTTTTTAATATTATACAAATTTTCTTTAAATCTAAAATTTAAAAAAAATATCCCCATATTGTACAAAATCTACAAAAAATGCATTTATTGTTAAAAATGCAAAATAAAAATTATAGATATTCTGAATCTAATTATAACCATGTTATCATATTTACCTTTATGCTACTAAATGTCATAATTATGTATTTATGTATAATAAATATCACTTCTAATACAATATATTAAATATATAAATTAAAATCAGAATCATATTTTAAGTACAGATATATTAGGTTAAAACTCTAATAACTATAGTCTATAGTCTTTTGAGTTTCAAAAGAAAAAAAGTAAAAATCTTTTCAACATACATTTTTATTATTGTGGCTTTGTCTTCCACATTATTATGAACTTATCTATACAATTTTATTTATACAGCCTCACTGATTGTAAATCCATTATTTATTTCTAAGCTTATATCTTACTTAATTACCTATCCGCTCTTCTTCAACAAATCAATTTTAAAGTACCTCCTCATATTACTTAATACACTCCTCCCTTCTTCATTCTATTTTTCTGTTCTAATTATTTAATATTCTTCTTCTATCATCATCTTACACGTATTTCTAATGAAAACTCAACATTTAACTCTTCTTAAACATTAATAAGGTCTTTTATTACCATCATTATTTACTTTTTTCTATTATTCGTTATTAAGACATTTAAAATAACAAATATCATATTTATTTATTATTGTATTGTTTTGGATTTTGTTTTTCATTGTAAATTAATTAATTAACTAAAATCACAAAGTAACTTTTTTTTAAAAAAAATTTGTATACTAATTATAAAATTGTTACTTTTGTCACATAACATTGATTAAATAAAAGTCTTAAAATATATTCAAATAATACAGTTGTATTTTATGTTCATTATAGAACACGTAAATTAAACTTGTGTTGGTCTCCTATAATTTGTTTGAATAAGTTACAACTACAATTTTGCTGATTTCCTAAAATTTTATAGTAAACAAAATTGTTTATCATTATTTGATATTTTTAAAATTTATAATTACAAAAGCATTAATTACAGCAAACATAGCTGCTGTAATCTAAACATATTGTGGTTTCCTGTCAATTTTTTATACTTTCTATTATTAAATACATTTATAGAAGATGGATTAACATAATACTATCTTGATTTATGTTGTCATCCATTGGACGTTATTTATTTTTTGGAAGGCCATCCTAAGTGATATTGATATTGTATTAAAAAAAGTGCATTATACAAATCTTGTAAGATTTAAAAAAAAAATGGTTAATTTCATTTCCCTAAATTATCTGTTGTAAATTTGTTCAAATAGGTATAATATTTAAATTGCAAATGTCCATCATGTAATTTTTTATAGATTTTCACGTTTATCCTTGCTATTATAAATCTAGGTTAACTAAAAAATTGGTTCACTATAATTAATAGACCATTCCTTTTAAAGACTTACTATACCAAAACCATTCAAATTTGTATAGAATTTAAAGTATTAAATTAGTCCATTAATTAATAAAAGTTATCATTCACTTTTTATTATAGGGAACAGTTCGATTATTACACATATTACATTGTTCAGAAGAAATAGCATCCAACAATGTATTATTCACTTATGACAAAATCAAGAAATGGTTCTCAATATGTGATACTTTAAAAAAAGTGAGTATCAAAAACATTTTAATATATAAATTCAAATAATTTATTTACATAGATTCATAGATGCATAATATTAAATCATTAAAAAATGCTTTCTAAAACCTATTAAACATTATATTACATTTAAATAATACAATTTAATTTATTTTTTATTATACTTACTATAAAATGAATATTTTTCTATTAAATTTATGTTATATGTTTTTCAAAAATATCACTATTATTAGTTTCAATGCATTTCAAATATAGTAAAAACATTTTATCTGTAAGGTATAAATTAAGAATTTTATACTACTTAGTAATTTTTATGATTTGTAAATAATGTATTGCAAAGATAAAACTTTTTCAATATTTAATTAGACCGTAGACAAAAATCTATTGTAAGTATAATGATGTATAGAAAATAATACAACCATTGAATTAATTATACTATTATACTATATTGAACTGATATATACAGTATAGTAGTCGGTAGTCGTAAAAGTGTTGTCTTATAAGTAAATCAACTATGTAAATGTAATAGAGTAGTAAACACCTATATCCCGGATTAAAAAAGAAAAAACGTGTCTGCCAGTCTTAGGATCTCAGTAGAGTTTATGAAAGTAGCAAAAGGTTTTTCGTATATTTTTTTTCGTTTTCTGCCCTCTGAAAAATACGGCATTTACTGCGACAAACGAAAGCGCGAGATTGGAATAGCAAAGTCTGTCTTGTAAATATTCATGAGACTGTATAGAAGATAAAAACTAAAATGTATATACATATATATAAAAAAACAAGAAAAAACCTGCCTTTTTCACAGAGTATATAATATATATTGAGCAAAATCCACCCCTAGCTGTTGCAACACAATAAAGCAGTTTGAAGATGTTGAAAGCGGATCTCCCCAATAACGATTCCAACGACATAGTCGGGTTTATATTATATCTTATACTTTCTACTTTTTTCTCGGTTTCCCTTTCTCTCTTTCTTTCCTTTACGAGCTTTGCAGCTACAAAGTGATCCGGAAGGGATGTGTCACCCTCGCCAGAGCCGTCAAAGTTTTTATGGCCGTCAACCCACCCCTTGTGTAAGGGATAGGCATAACTGTAATAGCTGCCATGCGGAACCCCAATATTACGCTCCTTACGCATTTTATGGGTTTATTTATTGCGTCCTCTAAAACTCTTATTAACAATGTCTCGCACACAAACGACTGCGGCAGGGTTGTTAAATCTTTTCTTTATTGGAACTTCTGCTCTTTTGTACCCCACTCCCACCTTACATTCACTTTCACAATGAAAATTAATTGTTAGAGTTCGCGTTTAAGACCTAAACTTACATTGAACGGTAACACACTACGACTATCACCAACCAATTGACCAATTTATTACACTTAAGTTTTATAGTTCAAATATAGTTTTAAAAAAGATACAAGTAATTTTAAATAATAACAGTCTCTCTTAACGGCCACCAGTAAATAAATTAACATGTCTTAAAATAATTAGAATAAATAGTTTGATATATTATTCTTAATCAGTGTTAATTATGTATAATGGTATATATATCATCAATATTATTTTCCTCGAGTTTCCTTTAAAAATAAATAAATCGATGAAATATGTTTATGTGATATTTAATATTATAATAATGAATAATAATTAGATTAAGGTGATAGCTTTAAGTATTATGATAAAAAATATTGAATAATATAAAATAAAACAAATGAATAATTAAAAATAATTAATTAAATCAATTGTTAAGTAAAAAAAATCCAAAACTTTGTTTAACTATGTATTATTCGGTAATAGATATATAGATATTAAAATATTCTTAAACATTATTCTTCATAATAAAAACTGTTATGACAACAATTCTACAATTTTTTTTTCACTTTTCTATTTTCGAAATATTATAAAAAAGAATGTTTAATAATATTTTATAACCAAAATAAATCACTATAATAAATAATAAATGTCAAATGACACATCAAAGTGTGAAAATTCAGGGTGACAACACCTTAATGAAAACATTTAGGAAGTCTAAAGCAAGACATAATACATAAACAAGTATATACTGTTTTTGTTTATTCTTTGAGAGTTAAATTTCAATGAAATAAAATGTAGCTCTGCTCAGCCCCGGGGGATGAAAGAATCACAAGAATCCCGTCTCCTTTTCCCATTTAGTACAGTAATAGCTTTGGGAAGCGGCAGAGAAAAGCGAGCAAAAGCCCCCAGCGTTGTGCGGGCGTGTCACCGTTGGTCGACCGGGTGAGGGGACGGAGGTTGGGAAAATTTATAACCGTAAAGCTTTGAGGTTAGGGGTCGTAAGGGAGCCTTTTTGCCGAGCGTTTAACCGTATTCCATTATCATCGTACGGTCTGCCGGTTTTATGACTATATTCGAGAGACGATAAAAGATTCCAGACGTATTAAATACGGTCGACAAAACGGAAACTAGAATGAACATGGACTCGAATCGCAGACGACGGTTTTATCGTCTTCACTCTACTGCAGTTGTAGTAGGTAGTTGTAGTAGTAGTAGGGGTCTGCGGGAATCGTAATTTCAGAGCAATTCTAGAACGTTATAACCGTTGAAAGCAAATAAACCGAACGTCGTCGTCGTTGTCATAAGACATTTTTATTTTATCATCGTACCGCTTGTGTACCTTTACCTATTTATACTTTATTATTTTATTTTTGTGTTTTTCTCATAGACCGACGAAAAATCATTAAAGGACGTAAAACGAGACAAACAACACGTGATGGGTCAACTATGGCTCCGGTCGGAAGTGGATAATCTGGAGTATAAGATGAAATACTCTTCTAGAAAAAAGTCGTTGCCAACGTGCATTGTGATCGATACAGATGCGTTAATTAATTATTCATTGATTATCAAGAAACTCGTTAACAGCACTAAGTTTATTGTAGTAGTGCCAGCAGTCGGTATGTACATGATGCGATAATGGATATGATTGTAGATAAAATTATCAACATATTATGTTTATTATTTATTTTTTGTTATTATTGTTTCAGTAATATCAGCACTAGACGAGCAAAAAAAACTGAGCAAAGAAGTTAGATTAACTATACGTTGGTTAGAATTTCAGTTGCAAGAGGGAAACTGTAACTTAAAATCTCAAGGAATACATGAAACACTACCAATTAAACTAGACGGTCCACCAAAATTGAGCAAAGAGATTTGGTAAGTGACATTAATTACTGAAATCACTTCAATGTTTTTATCAATGTATTAATGGTGTTAATGTATACAGTAATTTCAAACATATTTTGGAATGTTGCAACTATTTTAAAGAAGAATATGGCGAAAACACAGGTATTGTTACGTTAATTACAGGGTCAGACGACCTAATGGAATCATCAGAACTCATGGAAATGGCTAAATCTGTCAGTAAGTGATTGTTTTCGTTTATAATTAATGTTTTTAAATGTTGCATGGTCTATATTTTACGATGTTTATGTCTAAATATAATGATTTTTAGAAATTAATATTGAACACATAAAGACATTTCAATTCCAATTAAAAACCGTAAAAAACAAAGGATGAAACCTGGTATGGTTTAAAATATTGATATTTTTATTGTTCACTCAATGGTGCATCAATGTATACAATGACGAGAATTTGGTTGTCAATCACACCGCGTCGTTTTTGAACACGTGGACCAGATTTAATTTTCGGGAAAATTAAAGACCTCGGTTGACTTAATTTTACATCTGTTATAAATATAATATATAAATCAAGGTCAAATTCAAAAAAGAGAAAAATGTTTTTATTTTAATTATTATTACTATTATTATTATTATTATTAATGTTAATGTGGTGTATACTTGTATACAATATTATTATATAATAAGAGGTCCTTAAAGTATAAAATGTTGTATACTCGACTGACGGCCATTTAACACCTGTTGGTCATAACGACAATGCCCATCTACCCTTGGTCTACTTATGTTTAGTAATAATCGCGTCAGTTATTTTACTTTATATACGTCATTTTTTTTTTTTTATGAAATTTAAATACATTTCAATGTTATCAATATTTAGTTTAACTCTATAAAATGTCCCCACAAATATTGTTTTATTCACGTTTCTTTCTTTCTAAGGTTTTTGTTTTCATTTTATAGATCTTATTTTCAAACAATTAAATATAGATATAATTGTGCATGTAGAAATCCAATTTGTTTGTTTTTTCCTTGTTTGCTCACCCAAAATCTTCATTGAAAAAAAACTGCGATTATTATAACGTTTATTTTTCTTTTTCTTTTTTTTATGTGGTGGAAGAGGTGTGGTACAGCGGCACTCGTTGTTTATCCAGTGTTCCTTTTGTTTATCCGGAGAAAAACGATTTTTGAAAAGTGTTTACCGACCAGAAGTTAAGTACTCTCCGCAGCGGTGTACGGCGTTACCAGCCGTAGTGGTGGTGTAGTGTGTGTGTGTGTGTGTGTGTGTGTGTGTGTATTATACGCGTCAGACTCTTCGGGATCTCTGCAACTATGGCAACACTACACCACTGGTGCCGCTCCGGCGAGCACGCGCGCTCCGATTTGTGCAAACGCCGGCCGCCGGAGATGAGCACGTGAAATTAATAGGACGGATAGCCGGACGAGAGAGTGAGTAGGGTATGGAGGAGAGATGCTCAGTGGCGACGTCTCAATAATAATAATAATAATAATAATAATGACGGGCGCTGCTAGCTCAAGAGGGTTGAAGTGGTGATGATGGTATTGTTTTATTTTTTTGTTCGCGTCTACTCGGCCCATTATCGTTTCATATAAAAGGCTCGACGGTGGCACACGGTATATATTCGCGCGGTGCAGTCTCGTATAGTGTGTATATTATATTATAAAGTAGTGTGGAGTATACGTGTACAGTTATAAAATAATGTACGCGTGTATATGGGAGTTAGGTGCGGGGAGTGCCCCGGCGTTGTGTAATAATAATAATTAGACGAGAGGAGGGTGCAGCCGGTGTGCGTGTACACGCCTCAAACCGTATACACGCGGGGTCGAGCCACCCCTTTTTCGTAATTGTTTGCCACGCCACGAGTGTAGGCACATAACGTGTATGTAGACTTATGTGTGTGTGTGTGTGGTGTACAATACGGTTTTTTCCCCCTCGAGCGCCGTTCAGCTATCTCTGTTAATCCGTTATATTTATTATTCCCCGTCGTCGCGGCACTACAACTGCACGGCTATATAGTTTAATACGCCATTAGCGTTCAATTTCGCGTGCGTGCGACGAGGGTTTGTGTACGTTTTATGCGTGCGTGCGTGTTTTTTTATTTTGCACCCGCCCGGGGCGGCCGCAAAACGAGTGCGATGGGAGGGGGAGATGAAAAATGAACGGTGCACACACGCCCGGCACGGATAATCCGTGGGATTAATGTCAACAATATTATTCCGCGGCGGCGGTCCGTGCAAAAAGACTGTTAGTCAAACAACACGACCGTATAATATATATAATATTATTACTACTGTTATCGCGTTGTTATCTACATCGTGCCCGACGAGGGGTCGCTGCCGGGTTTATGCTGTAATTGTGTATGTGCACAGGGTCGTCGTCGTCGTCAACGATAATTTATTTATTTCAATGCGGATTCGAAATCTGTACTCGATATAATAATTATTGTTCGCGCATCGGATGATTTCCACTCGAATATATCTCAATTGGTGTGTAAATACGACGATAATTTATTTCACGGTTTTGTGCGTGAAGTGGTTAATTTTGTGGTCTGGGCTCTCGTGGCGTAAAATAATTATTTTTTGAAAAACCGACATAATATTTGGTCACGAAATGGCATACGACTTTGATACTCTGATACAAAAAATATTAAAAATACGCTTTTTTAATTTATACACGCAAAACTTAATAAATAACTGAATCGATCTTTAAATCCAAATCGGAGCGGTTGTTTTTCCAATCCGGATTTGTTATCTGGCGATTATGACCAGCCTTTACGGGACTTATGGAACTAATCCCAAAGTTTTCACGCTGTCGGATTTTGTATAATTATAGTATGTTTGTGTGTGCATTTATACGACATCTGCGTAGTACGTTAACAAAGCCTGCAGTGCGATACTTCATCCCCTGGACGTCTCGTGACCATAATCTTACAATTGAAATGTTTTCGAGAAAAATGTCGTGGTTATCATAAAACACCGGATATGTGGACTCAATGTGAGGTACGTAAGTGCTATATACACTAATAATGCCAACACGTCGATAAGAATAATAAAAGAAAAAGTATAACTGTAAATGTATCCAACTATCATGTTTTATATTTTAAATAATATTATAATCTTTACGTATAAAATATTTTAAGGTTTAAAATTAATGTTCGACGCTACTTCAACAAAATTTATAAAGAATGGTTGATTCCCGTGTAGACTGTAGAAACGGTTATATACAAACAACGATTAAAATATCATCATAGATTTAGAAATAATTTCAAAATAATGTCCTTAGGTAGTAGTTAGGTTTTAGTTTTATGCCACAACTAAAAACATAACATCGTGAATAAAATGTATAGTGTTTTTATTTTTGCATACAACAGATTAATCATAAATTAATAATTTTACTACTGAAATATTGTCTTGAAAAATAAATATCACTGCACATGTAGAATACCGAAAACATTATTTTGACATAATACTACATCTTACAAAAATGTAGCTAAATAGCCTATCCAGAACGCCGTGTAATCGTTTTATTCTTATTTATAAATATAAAAAATTATTATGAATTCTGCAAAATGTAAAATCGAGTCAATCTAAAACTTAAAAAGTACCTGGATAATAAATGATTATTTGAGGATGTCAGCACACTATTTGTTTTTCTCTTTGAGCTACGCGTAACACAAAAAATATTTATGTTCAACAGGACTAATCTTGTATAAATATATTTTATGTTAAGAGAGAAATAAACTACCTATTATCAAACATAAAGTAACATTATTTGGGTTTGTCGCTTTTTCGTGTTTTAATTTTTATGTAAGTTATGGGTATTTAAAAAAAGTTACAACTTAAAAAATTACATACCTGTATCACAGATAATGAAAATATCGAAAAAATCCAACGTATATAATCACAGTTAATGTTAGCTACTTTAGGTTTAATAAATTACAATAAGTCAATTCATTCTAATATTAAATATAAAAACAAAAGATAAGATTTGTTGACAGCAAAAACACTATGTTGCATGAAGGTCATAGAGTTGAAAAAACAATATTATACTAATTGACAATTTTTCAAAAAACTAATAGTGAATGCTATGTTGAATAAATAGAAAGGACAGTATCCTCGTTTACGTCGTCTTATGAATTCATCTCGGTTAAAGAAGTACTTAATGGTGAAATGAGGTAAAAATATCGAAACTGGAAACGCGGAGATTTTTAATTAACTTGTTAAGTATTTTGAAACGGTCTACGGACCCTTCAAGTAAAAATATATATGTAATATAATATCATTTTAAGTCTACTGTCTCGTGATAAATAATTATACGCAATACAATTGATTAATCAAGGACCTGACAATAACGATTAACAAATTATCAACATGGCTATATACAACCAGAATGTAATATTGCACACAATAAAAATACTAATTTACAATAATTTACAAATTATGCGTATGTCCATATATTACGTGCATTATTCTTAGAATACATGTCAAGTTTATCGTTTTTAGCCTCTTGCGTCTGGATTCGTGTATTCGTGGACTACATATGAGGTACAACTGTGTGTAATATGAAATGCATTATTGATTATGGCTTATACGAAACTACGAAATTATAAAGTGAGTAAAGATTAACTTGTGACAGTGTTATTAAAATTATCGACATTTCACTGCAATAAAACCATTAATAATCCACACAAACGGATTCAGTTCTAAATCGTTCAAACTCTTTCTGCGATATCTGAGTACCTAATTTATTTTACAGGATTTAATAACAAATATATAAATGCAGAATTATATTCAAGCGATTGGTAGCGTCAAGTTTTAAATTTAAAAAAAGAAAAGCCACCTACCTCTTCTCCCTGAGAATTTGTGCACTGCGCTAAAATGTGGAGTGTAATACTGTAACACAAAAAAGTTAATCACTAGGAGAGTATATGTATAACGTCTTAATCACACATTCACACGGCATCATAAAAATATATCTCTCTCTCTATTCTCTAACACGCCTATGTATAGTTTCCATGTAAAGTTAAAATGGTATTTATTTTTCTCTTTGATTTTGCTCGATTTTCCAATTACCATAAAAGACAAAACTTAAAATAAAATGAGAACAGCCGAAAGCCGCGCGTTTAATATACCTGGCTTACAAATACAGTGTTCAAAAAGTTTTGAAGTGGATATGCGCGCGGTGTTCGACTAATAGAATGATGGTTTCAGCATATTCAAATGCCTCGTGTATAACATTTATTAGTGAATATACGTGCGTACATTGTGTGTATATGAGTTTACGATGGTTCTACAATAATGTTATTGCAGTGTATAATTACGGCGAGGGAGATCAAGTGGTGGCGGAAACGGCAGCTGTATAAGGGTCCGGTTACCCGAGAGTCGGTTCTCCCGGAAAACACTGCACCTCATACCTACGTACACATAAACAGCAGTGGCAGTGTTAATTTCTAACCCCCCCCCACCCATCACCCATCGGTGATGGCAGCGGGGTAGGAGGTTTACTGATTTACAGTAGTATACGCAGCTCCTGCAGGTAGCGCGGCGCATGCACATATTTAATGTAATAATTGTCTTCTCGACGACCTAGGCACGCACGCGTTAAA